AAATGTATTTGTTAAAATTCCCAACCAAAATCTGTTATGATATCTGAGTAGTCTCGGCTCTTCTCAATTAGAAAAATGTTATATCATATCTCGTGATAAAAAGATTTAATTTTCGTGCCTTTCTATTTTTAACTTCCACTAGTCAGAAAAAGTTATTAAAAACTTTCGAATGTTTCACGAAGATTTGTGAACATATACAAGTTACCGTTAAATGCTTTTCGGGCAATTGATGATTTATGATTAGTTCATTGCAGATTATGCGAATGCCGTGTTAAACACGAGGACGTTTACAGCTGAAACATGTGCTCGAAACATTATTTTCATATACTTTATCAATAATTTTCAATTGAAATTCATATGATTAAAGAAAACCTAGCATATGATTTATGTCGTATAAACCTGGAAATCATATTTAAGGGCTCGTCACAGTAACCACTTCCCGAAGACAAAAATGGAACCGTCTAGTTAACAATGGCGCTCGTATTTTATTGCATATACAAACACATAGTGATAATTCGCCAAATAAATGCGTAAAAACTTTCTTAAATATTGAAATTATTTATTTTGATAATGAATACTGTTCGAAAAAAGTTTGAACGCCGTCAATACAAATAAATAAAACTGTAAATAATATTTAATGAAAATTCACTTAACAATTAAATCTTGTCTGTGATCGGTCAATTTTATGAAGAACGACCCCAAGTATCAAATTCCGTTGGTCGCAATCCTAAAGACACATTGACATTATCAGCAAAAATCTTAAACAAGTTAGCGTGCATAGTTTGCAAGTATAGTTGCAGTTTTTGTGAGTTGAAAAAAAGTAACAAGCTTACTACGTAAGCAGCATAATAAAAATTCAAAAAAAACCTAAAATAAATTTGACACCGTGTTTATTTTTGAAACAATGAGACAAACAAGAAATACAAGGTATGACAAAATCAAAGGTCACAAAGGTTCGAAAAAGTACATAAAGAAGCAGAACAACAAAACTAAATGAAAGCTACCTAAACACAAATTCAAACATATAATCTATAGAAATGTAAAAATATAATTTTTGTCTACAATAGGTCGTTAACTGAAAGTTGAGACGAAAATCTAGAAATTAAAATTTTTGCCCCAAATTCAAAAACAAAAAAAATTTGATACATATTTGAATATAAGATTTTTGCGAGTAATTAGAGAAAACAGGCACAAAATTTCAGTTTACGCAATCAAATGCTACCAAGCCCTGAGACTGACAGAATATACTGACAGAAAAAACTGAAGTAAACTGTTTTTCTGTTTTTTTTTTCTGCACGAATATAATCGAATTTATGTTCAAACCTATGACGTACGAAAATCAAACACAAGTCAGGAATGAATAAATGAGTCATATTGAATTCTGGAAAATCACAGTGATGTACTTACTATACACAGTCTTACTCATATCACATTGTGATTATAAATCAATTAATAATTAGATATAAATAATTTCAAATAAAAAGTTAATACAAACTAGTGGTGGCATCGTGCCTTAAGGCAAATTGCTGGGACTTCCCGTACCGTAAAGAAATGTTCGAGTAATATTAGATGTTTTCAAATAGATTATTATAAATATTGTAACATTGTCTAATATTTATAAAAATTATATAAACTGAATAGTAAAGTTAAAATTATTCATTTAAAGTATGTAAGTGATTTTTAGAACTTTAACCAGAGTTAAAATTAAAATCCGAATTATTTGCGGCATTCAAAAAAAATTTTTTATTTGTAAACAAGCAGAAAGTTTTTTGAATCAATCAAATCGGATGCTTAGTTCTCTCGAAAACTGCCATTTTAGCACATTTTGCTTGGTATCTCCAAAACGACTGGACCTGCCTTTGCCAAAAATTAATCACCACTTCTCCCAATCATTACAAATTGAATATTTTTTAGATTATTCAAATCGGATACTCCGTTCTTTCGAAAGCTTGATTTCTATTTTCTACACTCTTCGCCCTTTAACTCTGTAACGTTTGGACTTGCCTTTGCTAAAAACTAATCAGCACATCTTCCTATCAATAAGAATCGAATGTTTTTTTAAACCATTCAAATCGGTTGATCCGTGCGCCCGAAAACGTAAACGGAAAAATGCTTAACACAAAACACACACACATCCATATTTTCTGAGGTATGTCAAAATGTTCAGAAACCTTCAAAACGAGGAGAAATGCAAAAAATTTCATTTTGGATTTTACCGCCCATTACTATAACTACCCTACGGGAAGTTAGAAAAAAATATTTACGTTTCGTGTGTATTATTATAAATCAATTATTAATTAAATATAAATAATTTCAAATTTAAAATTAGTACAAAAAAAAAGAATATTTATGTTTCGTTTGTATTATTCATTTTGTTAAATTCAATTGTATCGCCTTCAAAAAACTTCCCGAAAAAATCCCATTGAGTTGTGATTCTTTTAGAACTGTATCTATATGTCTTTATAATTAAAAATAATTAACACTCCTAATATAGAGTAATTAGCGTAGTAATTAATAATTGTTTTCATAAAACATTTTCTTTGCACGTTTTTTGGTAATTAATAAAGTGCCTAACTAACATGACTTTAAAAATGTGACTGAACTAACATAATCAATAATCAATTGACGTAATAAATACATAAATTGATATCAAACACTAAGTAAGCTTTCCTAGAAGCAATAAATATATTTTCTTAAGAAATAATATCAATTGTAGATTTTGATAATGAACGCCAAAATTCTGAGTCATTTACATCACGAGACAAAATTATACAACGAATGAACATTACACAATCATTTTAAGTCTGATTTAAATTCGCGATCGTTTTTCCATGATTTATACTGTCGTGAGTTCAGGTTCAGGGACGATTCATTGTGTTCCGAATTGCAAAAATATGTGCATCGACATTCCAAATTTGCACTTATCGCACCTGCTTTGACCCAGATCATTATTAGTTGATTTCTGGGTCAAGAAAGATATGATACAGATATATATATATATATATATATATATATATATATATATACAGTGGTGTTGTTGTTGCTAATATTTTTTTTGCCGGAACGCTAAAATTTTTTTTTTTTTTTGCCGGAACGCTAAAATTTAAAAACCGGTTCTCAAGTTTATTCCGGTTCCGTTCGAAAGGGAAAGAAACAAAAATCATTACAAAACCCATTTTGTACAAATATATGCATGCTTATTACAATAATAGGAACATTTAATAAAAACTTGTTGAACTATAATTTATAAAATTCACTTATTAAATCATTTTCTGCATGTAGCGATTTTTTTATTTTTTTTTTTTTGCCGGAACGCGTGTCCCAGACCTTGACTTGACGCCGAAACGGGACGGGATTATTTGGAAATTATGAGCTTCAAGTGCAACCTGAAGTCTTGGTGAAATTATGATCACAGTTTGGTTATTGTGATTAACTCTTATCAATTTTCTTCATTTAAACTTTTGAACTTTAACCGTGTATAACATTTATATGACCACAGTAAAAGAATAACCACATTGCCTCAAGTTTTCAAGAATTAAGATTTTTTGTTGAACTATGAAATTAAAATTTTCAAAATCTATTGACTGAGAAGCCCTCCTTGGCAAGTTTCGTCAGAAGTAGGCGCATTTAATCATATTATAAAATGCTAAAAGACTTGATAATTTTATCACACTTTAGTACATTTTTTTTAAAAGGAGGTCTTTCAAAATCGACCAATTTTAAAAATTTTAAATTCATAGTTTAATAAAAAGTCTTAATTATTGAAAACTTGGGGCAATTGTGTTATTTTTTTTGATCGTGGTCCTAGAAATGTTATTCACGGTTACGATTCCAAAGTTTAAATGAACAAAATTTGTAAAAAATAACTACAATAAGCGAAAAATTGTGACAATTTCACTAAAGCTCTAGGTTGCACTTAAGATCTAATCATTGCCAAACAACGCGAAATAATTTTTTTTTTTCAGTTAAGGTCAATACTATCACCATGTTTCGGCTTGACGTCAAGGTCTGGGACACCCTGCATATTAGATATTATTAATTTAAAGCCGTATTTTTTTTTATTAAAAAATCGACACAATAGAGAAACGACGACTAAAAAGAAATTCAATTTATATTTTGTTTTTCTTATTTAATTTTAAATAGCTAATCTCAAACTTTTACAGCCAATAACGTTATGTTAAACGTTATTTAATAAATCAAAAGGTTTGATAAAATCATATGTACAGGTAAAACTGTAATTTCTATGTGTAAGAAATAACCTAAAAATACAACATTTATTTATTCCTAATAATTCAATATTAATTACTGTTAAAATTAAATTTATTTCGCAAAAACATATTGCATCGTACGTAATAATAATAGACTTGACATTATTCAATTGACAGGGAAATTACATTGACAAGGCGGGAATCGTACTTCACACTTCTGGCAGCCGCCGGGTACGAAAACGCATATGGATTTTACAATCGAATTGAGGTTATGTGAGAAGCTGACACTTGCACAATACGAAATGTATTAGCGTGCTTGACTAATTAACAAAACCCTGTATGAAACAGATACATGAATCGTTCTATATTTAGAAACCAATTGGATCTAATCCAATTTTTCAAGCAACATCACTTCTGCGTGCTCAGATTAAACCGTAAACGCAATATGTAACAGTCAGGTGCGCAGGCTTGAATATATAAATGATTTATATCGAATAAAAAATACCTGGACCTATGAGACGATTTATTACAAATAAAAAATAAGGACACACAAATCTGACATATATTGCATCAGAACAGATTATTTCTATTTAAATCATAACTTAAAATATTAATCTAAACTTCACAAAATAAAATTAAGTTAGACGTTATTTTGACAGATTGTGTAAAATATCAAGCACCTGGATTTTACGTTACGTTACAGTGATTCATTAATAAAAAATTCGGTTACCGCGCGGATTACGCTTAAAAAAGAACCAATAATTTAAGGTTACATAATGTATGAGTACTAACCTTTTATATAAAATCACCCAAACAATATATTCCCTTTCGACACTCACAAAATTAGTATTCGTTTTCAGATTTTTAACTTATAGGTTACGTTTCAAGAAAAAGTCATACTTTTTCACACACTACAAGACGATGTCGGGTATCGGGTCGAGCACTGACTACTTTTTGTCATTTTCGGTTGAAGGCCAACATTACAATAATAAAATTAATGTCACATTGGCCGAGCAGGCAGCGCCATCGGTGACGGATGCTGCGCAATAAGATTATAGCTAATAATCCAACCTATGTAGTTTATGTGCGAATCTTGTATAGATACTTCTCAAATAGAGCCTGATATACAGTCTTCAAAGCACCCATCCAACTTTTTGATATAACATATTTACTACATATTTCCAAAATAAAATCATGTTTTACATAGTTCTTAACTTCGCGCAGAATAAGTTATAGTAATCAAAAATGAAAATGTTTGCATATCCTTATAGTTCAGAAATTTCTAAATATTTTGGCATACTTTAGATATGAATTATGTATGTGATCAACCGATGTAAATGATTCATTTAACATTTGAATCGTTTTGACCCCTCGTCCAGCAAAAACTTTAATTTTCCAAATTTTGCAAAATTTTTAAAAAAAATCAATTATTTAAAAATATCAAAATTGTTGAAATTGATTTTTTATAAAAAAAATATTAGAATATTTCGAAATTTTCGAAAATCGTTTTTTCCAAAAATTCCTATATTATCAAAAATTTTGAATGAATGTTTTTTTTCGAATTTTCTAAACTTTTCAGAATTTTCAAAAAGATTTTAAAAAAATCTTCTAAACATACATGTAAGTAGTTTGTAAAATACGCTCGTCGTCCAATTTAATAAGCAGGAGAGCTAGAGGTTGGCTGTCGCAGTTTTTTTTTAAATAAATATATCTTTAGATCCACTGATTATATTTCTATAAAATAAAGATAAAATAAAGTTCATTAATTATTCCTCTACCAATTGAAAATAATTCCAAAACTGTCGTTCATTATTCTACAATTAATCATTTTCTAGAAAACGTGCGGTATTACCACTTGCCCCATGTTTGGGGCTAGTTGTAACATCTACCAAGACAAGTAGTAACGACAAACAAAATGACCTTAATACTTCTGATAATTCTTAGCTTATTTTAAAAAAAAATTGACTTGTTTTTGAGTAATTCTTTTCATAAATCAACGCAAACTATAATTAATACAAATAAAATATATAATGTCTATTATAATATAAATTTTTATCATAAATCAACGTAAACTACAATTATTATGACAATACTAATAAAAAATATAGTGTCTCCTCTAACACAATTCACATCGGTACCAAATTTTACAAATTATAATTTCCTACCAATCTTTTTCACTTGAATCTGTATATGTAATTCTTGTACATTGCAACTAGCCCCAAGACTTTGCTTCAACTAACCCTAACAAGGAGAACCCGTGCATTGCTCGTCTGGGATTTTGATGAAATTTGGCATAATGGTAAATTTTATGCCCAAACTGAACGTGGTAAAATATTAGAGGCCTATGAAAAGCGCTTAAATTAACTTCCCGTAGGGCAAGTTATAGTAATCGCAAAAAAATCGAAAATGAAAATTTTTATATATCTTTACGATTCAAAACCTTCTGAACATTTTGGCATACCTTAAAAAAAAATGGATGTATGTGTATGTGTGTGTGTGTGTGTACGTGTATGTGTGTGTGTTCGGATACAGATTTTCGACGACGATTTCGGGAACACGGATGAAGCAATTTGAATAATTCAAAAAACATTCGATTCGTATTGATAAGGAAAGGTGTTGATTAGTTTTTGGCGAAGACAGGTCTAGTCGTTCCGAAAATATTTAAGAGAACGTAGCGTCCGATTTGAATAATTCAAAAAACATTTTACTTGTATTAACAAGATGAAGAACTGATCAAATTTTCATGAAGGCAGGTCTAGCGGTTTCGGAGATCTCGTAAAAAAGTAAAAAAATGCCATTTAGCGGTCAAAAATGATCATTAGACATATGCACATCAAATTATCAGATATTTTATAGAGATTTAACAATAAGTATAAATTTTGTTTACATTCCTATGGGTTCCGTACCAATGTTTATCCGTCAGACGGCGACGCGGCGCTTACGCGCTTCGATATTTCGTCTCTATGCAGTTAAAGCAGTACGATTGCTTTGAAAAGATGTTCTGAATTTCCAAAATAATTCAAAATAAATGTTTCTTCAAAAATTCTTTTATTTAAAAAAAAAAGTAAATTTTTGTAAAAAATTTATAGTTTCTCAAAAATCTATTTTTTCCAGAGTAAATTTTGTTCAAAAATGTTAATCTTTTTTAAAAAAAATAATTTTTGGTACGGGAAGTTCCAGCAATTTACCTTAACCCTTCGTCGGTCGGATATTTATTCACCTTCGAACGGTCGGAGTGGTCTGGCTGGACCCCCATTCGTTTTACATGCATTTATATGGGGTAAATGAGTTTTTGGTGTCTTATATGTTAACGATTTTTTCTTTTTTTACCGTCTTTTGCATGTGTTGATCTTGCTTATAATAAAAATATTATATATTATATTAAAAAAATTAAGGAATATAAAAAAACCGTTGCTTATTTTTATAATTTTTATTTTTCTGTTTTATATCAATGAAAAACAATATTTATTCTTTTTCGGCTCCTTCGAAATGAATGTGAAATTCAAATAAAAACGAAATGAGGTGCGTCGCCTTTGAAATAAGCTGTAAAATTCAAGATGAAAATATAATTTCACTACAGGTTTGCCAAAAAAATTTTCGAACGCAGTACGGATAGAAAAATTGTTGATAATGTGCGCTGACCAATAAGTTTGGTAGGTTTTCAAGGAACTCTCGTCGTGAAAATACTAACATTCATGTTACAACACATAGCAAAGAATATATAAAATGCAGTTTGAATAGAAAATACCAGAAAAAAGACAAAATACTGATTTACATATATCCAAAAGCGTATATTTCATACAAAATGTATGGGTAGTCTAGACAGACCACTCCGACCTTTTGAAGTATAAAAAAGTTATTATCCTTATAATTGTCCTTCTGTACATTTTTTTGTCCTGATTTTTTAATTGATCGACAGCTAATGAAATTTAAGGAAAAGTCAGGAAATTTCAAGTCGACAAGATTACTAGAAGTATTTTTTTTTTAATTGAAGTCGAAAAAAGTCTGGCCAGACCACGCCGACCGACGGAGGGTTAAGGCACGATGCCATGCGCCCCACTAGTTATGTTAAAACTAGTTAGTTAGTTATTATAAAAATTAATTAAAGTTTGCATTTAAGCAGCGCACTGTACACCATCTGTGCACATAGCATGGAGCGTTCTTTGTTATCAGCGGGAGATTCGAATCCCCCTCAAGGTTTTTTTAATTTTTTTTACTTGTTCTTAATATGAAATTATTGTTTTACATCAATTTTTCTGGTATAACATCAAATTTATATACACGTTAAAGGGGACTTTATTATAGAATTGAGTGAAAAATATAAAATCAATTTAAAATTTGAATTAATTTTAATATTATTAACTCATGCAGTTATAAATATGAAATGAAAATAGTAGTAATAATAAAAATAATAATGTGAATTTTCAACATTAATCAAAATAACTATGTAAACAATTTAGCAATCACACAAATTGTTACATCTTATCAAAGATTGATAAGAAACAGAATAAGGGGGCGTCCATTAATCACGGGATCAATTTTTTTGGTGTTTGAGGACTCTCCCTCCCCCTTGGTGATACGTGGTGATATTTAAAATTACGCCCCCTCCCCCACCAAGCATCACGTGTATTTTTAGTTACGTAAAATTTTTCGAATTTACGAAAAAATCGTTTTTTTTTCGAAAATGTTTGAATTTTCTTTTAAATCCCGTTAAAAAATTAATACACGTAATATCGTACTCGACCCCTTCCTCCCTTCACGTGTTGTTCGCTAAAAGCCTCACGTTTAATAGAAGCCCCCTAAGATAAAACCTAAAATTATTCGATAATAATCCGATAATAATAACGCAATCCGAAATCTCTTGATAGATCAATTTTATATTACCTTTCAAAAATTACGCACCTGCACAAGTCTGTTCACTTCGTCGGCCTGCGGGACAGTGACAATATTATGCATTTCGGTAAACATGTTCAATCGAAACAAAAAAATATTTTAATATCTCTTAAGATCCTATTGAAAAACGCTTGTTACTATTTGCCCACGATATATATCTAGGGGATACTCTACTTATAAATTTATAATATTTATAACAACTTTATAACAATCTATTTGAAACAATTGTTATTAAAATTATTTTTATTTAATGCATATATTTAATATAGATTATGGAGACAAACAAGCAAGAATGGTCGAATTGTACGAAAAACTTATACGTAGAAATCGATTATGATTTATTTGTGAAATTTGTCGTTTTTTCATTTAACTGTAAATATATCAAAATTTGAGTCTATATATACAAATGTAATTTTTAAAGTTTAAATATTTGTCTCAGAAATATTTGAAATATAGATAATGAAATCTTTTGGTGAAAACACAATTTTCTCCTTCGGAATAAATAAATTTAAAGATTATATTGTTTTATGCAATTTACATAAATGGATTATATAGAAAAGTCTATTTAACTGTTATAGTTTAAACAAATTATAAAAAATATTTAGAAAATAATTAAAATTTAATTGGTGCTGAAGAGATACAAACCATTCACAGATGCAGACTATGTTTAAAACAAATATATTTAAATAATTAATAAAAAATAAATTTAAATAAAACTACTCTTATAGCTAAACTATTATATATGTATTATTTTATATAATACAGTAACTTTAATTGTAAATTTGCAAACTTATCTTTGAATTGTTTTGCGGTTTTCATATTTCCGCTCTGGAATGTGTTTCAAATGTTGCATTTATTTCCGTATGCGCGATTAAATTAAACAAACATATATCGTTGTATCACGAATTTAAAAGTGTGTGTTAAATACATTTAGTATTTTAATTAAAATTAATACAACCCATAATGTGGTTGGTGAATCACCAACGTGGCTTGTGCGGAATATCGTCTTGACAAATGAAATAATGAAGCTGGTTTAACCAAAACTTACATAGTGAAAAAATTGATTTTATTTGA